ATAAGACTGAATTGTCATGCCCTCAACACCCTTCTCTCAATACATACACAAACACATTTCCTGCTCAGACTCGCATCCCTTTTCAACTTCCATTGTTCTATCAGCAGCACGTTTACCGTGTCATTCTTATAGTGTTCTAGGCTAAAAACTTTAAGGGTTAATTTTGACTCCTACTTCTTTGCCACATGTCCAACCAGTCACCATAGCGTACTTCCTTTGAATAGCATTTTCTATTGTCCTTTTATATCCATTTTCACTGTAAGTAATGATGATCTGAGGCCTTTTGCTTCGATTATTGCAATAACCTCCTTATGGTCTCTTTGTCTCCAGCCTTTTCCCCTACTCCATACATTTGTCAGATTAATTTTACAAAAATGCTTTTTTTTCCCACAAATTTTCCATTCTTTTCTATTAGAATGTAAAGGCTTCACATTTTATGGATTCATGCTCAAACTCCTTTAGAACAAAGTTCAAAATACTTTGTCAGGGTCTGGGGTTATAGCTCAGTGATGGAGCACTTGCTTAGCATTCATGAGACTCTGGGTCCTATCCCTAGCATGGTAAATAAATAATAATTTTAAAAGTCCAAAGAATTTACCATATGATCTGGAGCTAAGAAAAGATATCAAGTAATAGCATATAAAAAGGATTTTGAGCTTGGGAATGGATGTGCTTGCTAGCCACTAAGAATGGACGAGATCATGTATATAGTACCACAAAATGAAGTAAAGGTCTGAACCTTGAAGAATTTGAACATTTGAAGATTAGGGAAAGGAGGGAGAACGAACAGAGACTGACTAGAAACAAAATGTGGGAGGAAAACCCAGAACACAGATTTTGTTTTGTTTTTGTGAAGTAGTAGATTAAACTTAGGGCCTCGTGCATGCTAGGCCCTACTAGTGAGCTATATATTCCCAGCCCTTTATATATATATATATATATATATATATATATATATATATTTTTTTTTTTTTTTTTTTTTTTTTTTTTTAATATTTATTTCTTTTAGTTTTCGGCGGACAGAACATCTTTGTATGTGGTGCTGAGGATCGAACCCGGGCCGCCCGCATGCCAGGTGAGCGCGCTACCGCTTGAGCCACATCCCCAGACCCACCTTTTTATATTTTAAGACAGGGTCTCACTAGATTGCCCAAGCTGGTCTCAAACTTGTGATCCTCCTGCCTCATCCTCCTGAGTAGCTGGGATTACAGGCATACACATATAGGTTTTCTTTTGTGGTGCTGGGGATTGAATATCCTTATCCCTTTTTATTTTATTTTTTTAGTTGTAATTGTATTTTATTTATTTATTTATTTAATGTGGTGCTGAGGATCAAACCCAGCACCTCCCACATGTTAGGTGAGCGCTCTGCCACTGAGCCACAATCCCAGCCCATCCTCAGCCCTTTTTATTTTTCTTTTTTTTTTTTTAAGAGAGAGAGAGAAAAAAAAAAAGAGAGAGATAATTTTTTTAATATTTATTTTTCAGTTTTCGGTGGACACATCTTTATTTTATTTTTACGTGGTGCTGAGAATTGAATCCAACCCCCCGCACGTGCCAGGCGACCCCGTTAAGGCTTGAGCCACATCCCCAGACCCTTTATTTTTCATTTTGAGAACAGAGTCTTGCTAAATTTCTGAGGCTAGCCTTGAACTTGCTATCCTCCTGCTTCAGCCTCTGGAATCACTAGGATTACAGGTGCATGTCAGCATGCCCAGAAAGTTTTTGAGGTCAAGGGAAGAAACTGTCTCAAGAAAAAGAAACTAGTGGACTGTGACAAAGGTTATCACGAGTTAACAAGAACTAAAAAGTATACAGTGAATTTAGCAACAAACATTGAAGGATTTTAGTTTCAAGGAGTGGTAGGAGTAGTATCAAGATGGAAATGGGTTTAGAGATGAATAAGAGGTGAATAAGTAAAGCAAGTCTCTTGCTTCCTATGTAAGTTATGATATGTGGGGTCATGTAATGAATCTGACAAGGTCCCTCTTCATACACTTACAAACACCTTATTCTCAAATCTACATAAATGTATATTCTTAATTCTTTCCCTAGTTCAGAAGATTATAAAGAAAAGAGACCAAGCACCTAGTGTGGTGGCACATGCCTATAATTCAGGAACATGACACAGGAGAATCACAAGTTTGAGGCCAGCCTTGACAACGTAGAGAGACCCTGTTTTAAAATAAAAAATAAAAAAGACTGAGGATGTAGCTCAGTAAGAAAGTAACCCTGGGTTTATTCCCTAGTACTGAAAATCAACAGAAACACCAAAAAACAAAACAAAACAAACAAACAAACAAAAAAGAGACCATGCTACTACCTCTGAGTTTCCCACTAGTGAAGATGGCCCTGGGCTCACTACAGAAATGCAGTAAATGCTTGTTACATATACACAGTAAAATACTTTATTAAATACCCTTAAATTACTAGCCATGAAAATGTTTAATTCAACAAACATTGGTGGGCATGTTAGTATAGGCCTGTAATCCCAGCAATTTGAGAGGTTAAGGAAGGAGAATCTCAAATTTGAGGCCAGCTTCAGCAATTTAGTGAGGCCCTAAGCAACTTAATGAGACCCTATCTCAAAATAATAAATAAAAAGGACTGGGGATGTGACTCAGTGGTTGAATGACCCCGTTCAATCCCTGATACCAAAAAAAAAAAAAAAAAAAAGCCTAAAACCATAAATAATGCTAATGTATGCAAGGCATTTTAGCAGGAAGTAGGACTTACATTTTAATGGAAGAAAGGTATAGACATGCAAATAAATAATTAAAATTCCACAAATTTTATGAAATAAAAATATTTTATGTTTTACTGTCTACAGAATGAATCTGTTAATATAATACCCATGTATGTATATGACATAAATTAAAGAAATTAGTCATAAAAATAGGATAATAGTAATTTTTTTTAACTTTCCATAGTTTGAATGCTATTAAATCAGATGAGGACTAAAAAGTACAAACTGGGTAAACTGGTTATTTCCTTTGATCTTCCATTTATATATTTGTGGATTATCAGTGCTTAAATAGTCTATTTCTGACCTAGATCTTATTGTTACTTATTTCCAAGGGGAGGAAAAAAATCCTCATTTACATAAGGAACAGAATGGCTCTGAGATAGAATTACAAAGAATCAATTGCATGAACCCTCCTCTTATTTAATCCTCTGTAAAATGAATAAAGAACTCACTATTGGGGAAATAAATGAAATACTCCTTATTTAGTCTTTTATATCATAAAGAACACTACATTCAAGACTGCTTCTCTTTCCAAAAAAATTCCTACACTTTACCATGGTCCAGTACTGTCTGATTTTTCATTATGAAAATTGTGAAGAAATATTTTAAATGATCTGCTTGTTAATGCTTACACTCTATAGGGCAATTAATTATTATTTTTGTTAAATGTATTTATAAGTTAGAAAGAAGCATTCAAATCATCCTTAATCTTCCTCTTTACTGAAATATACTTTTATTTGCTAGAGAGGATGGAGATTATTTTCCCCATGTAATATCCAAGAAGTAGAAAAATTGTGTATTGGGTTTTATTTTTTCTAGAAAAAATGATTGCAGCAAATTTGAACAAGCAAACCTGAGCTGGGATGGTAGGCTAGAAAAATCCATGGCTGCCTTTGTCACACCACAACCTGCAGCAGCTGTCTTCTCAAGTCCCTCCCTCCCACACCCTGCACTGCCTGCCAACTAAACGGGAATGAATGGGCTCTGCAGAGCATTGTAAATAGTGCTGCAGACCCTGAAAATGTTGGTTAAAATCAAAAGGAAAAATGTCGGTCAAAATCCAAATTTTCAATTTTGGTGGTCAAACAAACCTCATTACTTCTGAAATTTCTTCAGCGATGTTAAGTGGTCCACAGTTCAGAGCCTTATTCTGCATAACCCATCCTTGCTGATAATGGAGCCTTTCTAAATAGCAAAAGAATGTTACTGCAATCCATTTCCTAGGGGTGAAAGCAAAGCCTTTTTGTCCCAAGGGGCAATTGAGCAACCATTGCAGTCTCTAGTTGAATAGCAAGGGTGTGAGGCAGCTACAATTCCCACAGTCAGAAGCCCAACCTCAGAAGAGGCTATTTACCAAATTCACATAGGAACTGCATAAAAGTGAAATGCAGCTGAGCTGAGGTTACACAGTAGTCTGTGGATGGAGACAATATAACAAAATAGTCTTCCTTTTACTTTATATGTTATATAACTCTTTAAAATTTGGTGCATCGAACGTTTTTGTTTGATATTTTCTAGAAAAGAGAGTAATGCAGAAATAAAACTAGTACTAGCTTCTGAACTGAATTCCTTCTCCTTGTATTTTCCCAATTCTATATCTGGAAAGATGATTCATTTATAGGGACAATGCACCACACAAATATATTACATAGAGTTCTGGTTAAGGAATATCTCTGGTAAACTATTTACTGTATATACATTAGCTCTTATTATTGCATATTAGAACAATTTGCATTTTCTAATTATCATATTCTTTCCATTTTTCACTTTTGTTTAGCTATTTGGTGCATGCAAAGATCTGAAAATAAATTATTTGAACTTGAGAAACCATTTTGAATGACTATGCAGCATCCTTTCTAAAAAAAAAAAATCATATTCACCCAAGTCATTTTGACCATCACTCCCATCTTCTCGTCTTTATTTTTAAAGTAATTGAGATCTTTCATCCTAACCAAATATAGTGGAGTTTAATATACTATGAGGAAAGGCTGGCAGTAAAATTACTGCCATAATTATTTAATCTCAACATAAATTCTGTGACCAAATGTAGGGAAAACACATAGATGATTTTAACTGTAGTTTAAGGTTTAAACAAAAAACCTCAAATCCAACCCGTTTTCTTTCTTCCCTTTCCGCCCCTTCCCAACCCCACCCCATAATGGATGCTCGGTTGACTGCCTTTGCACGGTCTCTTTGTCTGAAGGATGCAAACAGTCTATGGATGCTAGGGAAAAAGGGGTGGGGGAGAGATTACCTCATCCCATGTCGTTTGCACCAATCACCACTCTCCTGTCGTGGCTTCTCTGGGCAGATTGAGGGGTCTGGACCAACAGGAAAAGGCCCTGGCCCATCCCCATGGTGACCGAGTTGTATATAGGGAGCCGCATCCGCCTTTGCGCCGCAGGTTCTCTTACATCGACCGCCTAAGAGTCGCGCTGTAAGAAGCAACAACCTCTCCTCTCCTCTCCTCTCCTCTCCTCTCCGCCATCTGCTCTGCAGCCGCGAAGCAGCAACCATGGTAAGAATGTGTTTTTTCCGGCTCTTTTTGGCCGGTGGGTGGAGTCAGAACCCTGGGATATTCTTGGAAAACCTTAAGCCCTTTTCTTTTGTAATCTCTTTGGGTTCCGGTAGTCTTACGCTGTGTGAGGTTTAGTTAGCTTTGTTCTACCCTAAATCCTTAAGCCCCGCTGCCGACGCAGTGCGGGAGCTGAAACCCGGGTAGAAATGTGCCCAGGACGCTGGAGAATCATGGGGAAGAGCAAAGGCGGCGCGAGGGGTTTTTGTTACCCGAGAACCCTACGGGACCACAAGCAGCCCATCTGCAGTGCGGGAAGGGTCTGGGGCCGGAAAAGGCGGTGGTTGTGTCCTGTACTGGGCCCTTGCATTTCTGAGCCAGGATTCGTTTAATTCCAAGAATCCCTTTTCTTTCTTATATCGCTCCCAAGAGCGGGGAGGGGAGGAGGAGGAGGAGTCTAAAAAAAGAGGAAGAAAGAAAAAAAAAAAAAAAACCTTCACATACCAAACGGGGCTGGCGAGTGGTGTGGAGCTAGGGGATTGAGGGGGCAGGAAAAAAGACAAATCCGAGCCTTGGGTTTGTACAAAAAGATTCCTCGCAGGTTGTTGGCATTTTAGAAAGAAGCCCATGTATTAACGGGAAAATAAACAATAATAATTTTAAAAAAAGGTTTAGTTTTCTGTTGGAGCCCTTGGCAGCCGGTGTCAAGGTGGCGCAGGGGCGGAGTTGTTTGTTTCTTGCTTCCCTGGCGTTGGGCGGGGTTCGCCTCACTAAACCTCTTCTGTCAGGAAAGAATTATAATAAAAGTCTTTCATCATTGTGGAACTGTGGGCTTCAAAAGGTATTTTAATTCACTATTAAAACTTAGATGACGTTTTTTTCTTGAGCAAAAATTCACTTGACAATGAGGATGACCCGCCCTGAGAAAGAGAGACAGAGATCCAGAGACCTAAACTGTAGAGGCTGCATGGATATAGAGGAGAGAGAAAGCCCACTTTGTGAAGCCCGGGGTACCCCAGTTGTCCCGATTAAGGGAAACGCCCTTCCCCGCTCCCCCGCCCCCTTAAGTCAGTGAATAGACAATGAAAGTTGTAGCCCTTTAGGGGCTATAATCTTTAGATTATAGAGAACGTTTCTATAGAATATGAATGTTAAGGGGAGGGTAGGGATTCTCAGAATGGAAATACTATTTTGTTTTAAATAAATATTTCATTATCTTTTCACCGGACTTTAATTTAATTTCTTTTGTTTGGTAGCATCTTGTGTGAACTTAGGAACTGGTTTCTTAAAAGTACTAATAATTTTTTAGTTTTTTACAGTGGAAAAGATTCAGGGAAATTTTTTTAAAAAGAAAAAAATTGCTGCAAAGGAGAATTATACTTCATCCAGCTGTCTTTTGTTCCAGTGCATCTTTATTAATTCATTTCAATTCAGGAACACGGTCCTAGGCTGGGTCAGAGGAGGAACACTGGCAAAGCAGCACAATGAGATCATGTAAGCAGTTGCTGGAAATAGAGCTGTTCTGTTAAATAATGTAGCAAAGAGTACAGGCCAGCACCAGGCACAGCAAATACAGCAATGCAGCAGTGCAGCAGTGCAGGAGGCCAACCTTGTCTTTCTTCTAACCCCCTAATATTGATGGATTCCGATTCCGCAGACAGACTGCATAGGGTGTGGCTTCTAGCCTCAGCTGTAGTACAGATGTCCATGTTGAAATATACCAAGTCCTATTTAGAAGAAACCTTCATCTCTACTTAAAGGAAAAGAAAGCAATGAATTCCAATTACTATTTGAATGCAATTTATTTCATTTTACAAAATTTGTGCTTTGACTATTTTTTAACATAAAAAATCTTCCATTCAACCATAGCTGTAGGAACAATGGGCTTGCACTATGTGCTAAATTGCGCCAAGGTGACATTATTATTCAGACCACACATATTTGCAGCATTTGTAGCAGGTGCTTTTCATTAACCATTTTTCTCTTATTAGGAATATGACTCAAATAAATTTGAAAAATACCTGTAAATTACTAGAAATAATTTTTTAATTTACTGAAAATTCAAAATGCTAATACAGCTTAATTTTATAATTTTTCTTTCTTTCATAGCGTGAGTGCATCTCCATCCACGTTGGCCAGGCTGGTGTCCAGATTGGCAATGCCTGCTGGGAGCTCTACTGCCTTGAACATGGCATTCAGCCTGATGGCCAGATGCCAAGTGACAAGACCATTGGCGGAGGAGATGACTCCTTCAACACCTTCTTTAGCGAGACAGGCGCTGGCAAGCATGTGCCCAGGGCAGTGTTTGTAGACCTGGAACCCACAGTCATTGGTGAGTTGATGGATCTGTCCTGGGTTCTCCATTGATCACATAAAACATATTGTCTTTCTTACCTCCCATCCCCTCACCAGAGTTGAGCAGGCTTGTGCAGGTTATTAATGAGGAGTGACTGGTTTCCTTTCCAGATGAAGTTCGCACTGGAACCTACCGTCAGCTCTTTCACCCTGAGCAGCTCATCACAGGCAAGGAAGATGCTGCCAATAACTATGCCCGAGGCCACTACACCATTGGCAAGGAGATCATTGACCTTGTCTTGGACCGAATTCGTAAACTGGTATGTTTATCCTTGATAATATAGTAAATTAATGATCATAAGGAAGACATTTGAAACAATGCTGTTTATTATAAAAACAAATGTAGTGGTTAGATAAATTATTCCTTTTTTAAAAATTCAATTAAAACATGAACTGTTTAGCATCATTTTGTAAATATTTAGGTTTTTCATTTAAGAAATATTGAGTAATTCGAAGAATGTCTACATTTTTCTTTTCTTTTTCTTTTTCTTTTTAATGGTGCTGGGGGTCAAGTTCAAAGCCTTATACATGTCAAACAAGTGCTATATCACTGAACTACCACCCCAGATTCCTTACACTGTTTAAAAAGCATTTGTCAATGGGGCTGGGAAGGTAGCTCAGTGGTAGATGCGCTTGCCTAGCATGTGCAAGGCACTGGATTCAATCTCTAGTATGGTAAAGAAATAAAAATCATTCTTCAAAATAAGATCTAAAATAAAAGTTTATTTACTATGATTATAGCACAAAAATTAAAAATTTATCTTTTCTTTATTCTTTTCTTTTCTAACAGGCTGACCAGTGCACAGGTCTTCAGGGCTTCTTGGTTTTCCACAGCTTTGGTGGGGGAACTGGTTCTGGGTTCACCTCCCTGCTGATGGAACGTCTCTCTGTTGATTATGGCAAGAAGTCCAAGCTGGAGTTCTCCATTTACCCAGCCCCCCAGGTTTCCACAGCTGTAGTTGAGCCCTATAATTCCATCCTCACCACCCACACTACCCTGGAGCACTCTGATTGTGCCTTCATGGTAGATAATGAGGCCATCTATGACATCTGTCGCAGAAACCTTGACATTGAGCGCCCAACCTACACTAACCTGAATAGGCTGATAGGTCAAATTGTGTCATCCATTACTGCTTCCCTCAGATTTGATGGAGCCCTGAATGTTGACCTGACAGAATTCCAGACCAACCTGGTGCCCTATCCCCGCATCCACTTCCCTCTGGCCACATATGCCCCCGTCATCTCTGCTGAGAAAGCCTACCATGAACAGCTTTCTGTAGCAGAGATCACCAATGCTTGCTTTGAGCCAGCCAACCAGATGGTAAAATGTGACCCCCGCCATGGTAAATACATGGCTTGCTGCCTGTTGTACCGTGGTGATGTGGTCCCCAAAGATGTCAATGCTGCCATTGCCACCATCAAGACCAAGCGTACTATCCAGTTTGTGGATTGGTGCCCCACTGGCTTCAAGGTTGGCATTAATTACCAGCCTCCCACTGTGGTTCCTGGTGGAGACCTGGCCAAGGTGCAGCGTGCTGTGTGCATGTTGAGTAACACCACAGCCATTGCTGAGGCCTGGGCTCGCCTGGATCACAAGTTTGACCTGATGTATGCCAAGCGTGCCTTTGTTCACTGGTACGTGGGTGAGGGGATGGAGGAAGGAGAGTTTTCTGAGGCCCGTGAGGACATGGCTGCCCTAGAGAAAGATTATGAAGAGGTTGGTGTGGATTCTGTTGAAGGAGAGGGTGAGGAAGAAGGAGAGGAATACTAAAGTTAAAATGTCACAAAGGTGCTGCTTTTACAGGGAAGCTTATTCTGATTTGAACATTGAAAAGTTTTGGTCTGATCAGTTAATTTGTATGTAGCATTGTATGCTCTCATATATAATTACTGACCTATGCTTTAAAACATGAATGCTTTGTCACAGACCCAGGCTGTCCATTTCTCTGATGGGTTTTGAATAAAGTATTCCCTGTCTTAAATGAGTTGTCTTGTGTTTTCTATTTGGGTGTCTGAATTTTTTTTTTTTTTTAACCAGGAATTGAACCCAGAGGGACTAAACCACAGAGCTACATTCCCAGCCCTTTCTATTTCTTATTTTGAGACAGGGTCTCACTAAGTTTTTAGGGCCTCAGTAAGTTACTGAGGCTGGCTTTGAACTTGTGATCCTCCTGCCTCAACCTCCCAAGCCTCTGAGTTTATAGGCATGCACCACTGCACCTAGCTGAAAAATTTTATGTGTTCAGTACATTGAGAACAAAGGATACCCTGCTAGTGGTTTATGCATATACTATTAAGTACCTTTATTTTATTTTAAATTATTCTAGAATATTATAACTTTTTTTCCTTCCTGAAATTTTTATTTTTAACTGATACACAAAAATAAAAGTTGCAAATATTAATGGGTTATCATGTAATGTTCAATATGTGTATACACTGAGTAATGTTTAAATCACATCTTTTATCTTCTCATTTATCAATTTCTTGTGGTGAAAGCTTTCAAAATCC